TGTCTAGATATATTTTGTTACACTCTTCGAAGCCCTCTTTCGTTACTTTTAACAACCCCCAATGGTGTAATTCTTGCAAAATTTTTGTTCCGGACTTGATCGGAGGAGCAATGTCCGTAACAACCAAATTTCACTTGAATGCATTCCTGTTTTGCCTAAAAGGATCACTTTATGGCAGTAATTTTTGATGACAATCAAACCATGGTGTCTTTTTGTTGTTACGGAGGTTGAAAGCATCGAATTTTTCATACAATAAGGGCATGTTGTCTTACCCGCAGTACTCCAACCCGACAACATTGAGTATGTAGGAAAATTATTAATTATTCACATGACTATAGTTCTCATATGAAAATTCTTCTTACGAGACACATCATAGGTAAGAGCACCTACTTCTCATAATTAAACCAACTCTTTAATTAAGTGCTCTAAGTATACGTCTAGATTAACTTTAGGATTTTTAGGACATGGTATAATTACGGTTAAAAATATATATTCTTCTTTCATACATTTTCATGATGGCAAATTATAAGGTGTTACAATCACGAGCCACGAAAAATATTATTGTCCAGTTTGACCAAAAGGATGAAACCTATAAGTGCAAACACCTAATTTGACATTTTTAATTTCGATGTAAATGAAGGATATGTTTGGTCAAAATACCACCATCATAGGAGTTTGAACAATGACGTATGACGTCCGGCTCAACTACATGTTGCACATGCCACATCATGTCGCTAGCAATGGCGAGTTGATGCATACATCCTCTATAATTATGGGATTAGGGAAAATAATATATTTTATTACATGGGACAAATGTTTCTCTAAGTGATCCTCGCTTAAGTTTCGATATCGAGGATGGTCATATATTTTAAAAATGATTATTTCGCTTTCTTCACCCTAGTAAATCATACAACCATCTATGCTATTGTGGATCTTTTTAATGGGTGAACCCATCATTTTCACCATTTTTTTTACCGTAAAAGTCTTCCGGCATGTAGTTATCGGCAGGCATCAACTCTTTCATACGTTGACATAAGTCGTCGTAACACCTCTCCGAGAAATGATGCTTGGACTTGAGGTGTAACAAATGAGATGTTGCTGATAAATATGAATGCTTTTTTTAACCAAGCCATGTTTCTTTATTCGATACATCTAACAAATCGTAAAAAGCTTGGGCATTAGGGTTTAGGTTTTTGTCCGTGTTAGACGAATTAAATGATGGACCAGTTGCATGCATCACCATTGTGCGGTATCAATTGACTTGAGGATCATCAAATATTTATTCTTGTTGAACATAATTAATCAAATTGTCATCATAAATGACCGAATCATTCTCTCTATGATGTCTCCACACATAATACCCGGATACAAAACCATATCACATCAAATGATACTTAACGATATTAGGTTCAACATAACTATGATTTTGACATTTTGTAAGTTTATAAGAACATCGTATCTTATTTTCATCCATACACTCTAGATGACTAACGGTAAAATTAATAAATTCATTAATCCCATCTACGAACGCTCATTTAATAGTCCATCGGTTAATCTAAAGTCAATCCATGAACAATCTAAATTCATTCAAACTAAATTAATTTTGTAATTACTAATTAATTATGTAATTAATAAAAATTATAAATATTTCTAATAACTTAATTACTAAATTAACTTAGTATTAATCAATCAATTATTAATCAATAACTAATTTATTGAAATATATTATTGACTTATTAACTAAATTAATTACCAAGTCATTTACTTAATTATTAACTAAATTAAATAAATAAACTTAATTACTAATTAATTTTTTAAATAATAAATTAGATTTCGATAAAATTTAATTTTTTTAATCATTAATTAATTTTGCAACTAATTAACTCTTTTTTTAATCTAATCAACAACTAAATAAAATTAATAACTAATTAATTTTTTTATAACTAAATATATTTTACAAATAATTAAAATTTTTAATCACTACTTAATTTTGTAATTACTCCTTCACTTAATCAACAACTAATTAAAAAAAATTAATTACTAATTAAATTTTCAATTACTAAATATACTTTAAAAAATTAATAATTTTTTAATTGCTAAAATTTTCTAAAAAATTATTAACAATTTTTTAAATTAATTAATATTTCGAAAAACCTTCAATTAAACTAGCTAAATTAATAATTAACAATATTTAACAAAAAATTTACTTAATTAACAATTAAAAATTACCAATTAAGCATACAAATTAACAATTAAAGGAATAAAAATAACAATTAAATTAACAACAAAAAATAATAACAATCAAATTTTTTAAACAATTAAACGAGATACAATTAACACAAATTAATAACAATCACATTTATTTAACAATTAAAGTAACTAAATTAGCAATTACAAATAAATGAACTAAATTAACAATTACCAATAATAATAACGCAGCTTAACAATTAACACTAAATTAACAATTAATACTAACCAATAACACAATTAACACTTACACAATTAACAATTAATACTAAATTAATAATAAATTAATAAAATAAACTAAATTAACAATTAACACTAACAATTATCATTAACATTAATAATTAAATTAACAAAATAAATTAACATCTAATTATGAAACAAATACAAAAAATTAAAAAATTAATTGAGGGGTTAGATGAGGGAGGAGCTTTCACCCACACAAGGGGGAGAGGGGGTTGCGTCGGTGGAGGAGCTTCACCGGAGGTGGTTTGGTTGGAATCCCAAAGCTTGAAGAAAAGGGAAGAAAGAGAGAAAAAAGAATGAAAAAGGGGGAGAAAGGGGAGAAATGGAGGGGAGAAAGGGAAGGAGGAGAGAGAGGAGATTGGAAGCAAAATGAATGAGAGAGGGAAGATTTGATGGGAATTTTAGGTAAATCGGCGCTAGAAGACGAAGGAAGAGAAGAGAGGAAGAAGAGAAAAGTTTGGAAAAAAATGCAAGCAGATTGGTTTTTTAAGGAATTCAATTTTAGCGACGGACTTCAAGGCTAAAAATAGTCATCCCCCCCCTCCCAAAGATGGGTGGATTTTCGCAATGGTTTAGAGATGGACTTCAATCTGTCTCTAATTGATAAACTTTGCAATGGTTTTTGCTAAGAAATTATTGCAAAGTTGATGTCATATTTTTTCAATTAGCGATGATTTACGTAAACCGTCGTTAAAATGATTTTTTACAATCCCTCGTAAAATTTATTCAGACCCTTACAAATTTTGTTAATTAGCGATGGTTTTTAAATCATTACTAAATGCCCCTCGCAAATCAAATCTCCAGTTTTCTTATAGTGTCTGTTGCTCCTCCAAGGTTGAGACTTTTGTGTGGATGGTTGCCGTTGAAAATATTGCTACTGAAGATTTTCTTTTTCAGAAGGGGCATTATAGGTGATTAGACAAATGTTTGTCCTTTTTGCTCCCTTGTTCACGAAACAACTTCTCATTTGCTTTTGCAATAACAGAAGGTTTGGAATTATGGTGTAAGGCCTGGTGGGGATATCATTTGGTGCTCTCTTATTCAGTTGATGCTTTTTTTCTTCAATGGATATTCTATGTTAAAGGAAAATGCAACAGAAGCTTTGGCATCTATTTCTTTATGCAGTGTTTTGATATATGTAGATTGCCAGGAATGATTGGGTTTTTAATGATGTGATTCCTGATGGGAAGAATAACTTTGTCATCTTGCATAAAGTGGCTTTACGGAGCAGGTGTACTGATTTAACATTTCTCGTGTACACAAATAACGATTTGATTCGCAGCTGATCTGAGGGTATTTCAAGATGGTCTAATCCAGTTAAAACTCAGATAACTACAGCATAGCATATAGACACCAGTTCAAGAATCTTTGAAATAGAATATTAATGGCTTCTCAATTGGAAAGCCGAAAGATCGAATATGGTATTGGAGTTTTTTTAAGAGATCGAAACAGGAAGGTTTCTTTGTATTTTCTCATGCCATACAGTCATGAGGGAATCCAATGAAGCAAAAGTAGTGGTGAGGAAAGCCTTAGAACTCGGCTTCTCATCTCCACTCGCTCAGCCTGTAGGTTGGTTGTTCAAGTCAGACTCAACCATATAATGTGATCAACTGGCTTCATAGTACCCGTAGCTACTTCTAGACCATGGAGATTGCAAAATGCTTTTAATTTATTTGCTCTTCTTATTGGTAGCTTGAAGTCTGCTAATTTTTCACACACGCATAGGGAAGGTAAAGAGGCTACATGCAGATCATATAGCTAATTAAATCAAGTATTGATAAGGAGGTTTGATTTATTTGCCTCGATGTAACTCGTTCCTAGTTGGGTTTTGTAAAAGTTTTGCCATCACCTAGATGGCTTTATTCTTTAATCCATCGTCGATTATCATCCAAGAAAAAAAATGATTTTTTAAAAAATATTTATTATTTTCAAGAGTTTTATATATTTATTCTAATTATTAATTATTAATTTTTGAAAGATATTTCAATTGTGTTCTTCTTAATTGTTAATCAAGTACACTTATAGAGTATATTATATGGTTCAAATTAAGCAAATTAATTCATATAAGATTATTTGAAAATCAAACGTGTGTATTTAATAAATAATCAAATTTATTCATTTATAAATAATTCTAGAAATTAGAAAAAGTACTATAAATTAGATAAATAATAGAGGTGCAAAGTATGTATCAAGAAACTAATTATACCATAAAGTGTGTGAAGTTAAAGAAGGAAAATTAAAAACTAAAAACTTGGAGGCACCATCAAATTAAAGGGATCGATTAATTAACTAGATGAAGTTATACATTTGTTGAGAAATGTTAAACATAGAGGATAACAAACGTCTCAATAGACATAGAACATCTAAAAAGTAGATGCGTGGGTAGCTAGATCAGATGTTCACATTAATTACTTAGTAGTCGTAGGTGGGTTATGGAGTAATTAGCTTTTTAAATTAACTTGACAAGCCAAAAGATGATATGGTCAAGAAGTACGTAGCAGCTCCACTTCTCAGTAAGGGGTAGTGACACCAACATTAGCTGAAGCGAAAAACCCATCTTTCATCAGAACATCTTCTCCTTCCTACATCCAATCCAAATCAAGAGAGGAACGTTAATGTTTCTCTATGTACAAATTAATTTGTGTGCAGGATCCTTTGTGCAACGCTGTGCAATATACATGAAGGAGGGTGTATAGATTACCTGCTGGCGCACGTTAGTCTTCTTCATAGTCTGATCTGGCATGAGACCGAAGTGAATATGTGGAAAGTGGGCCCACTGACATATTATGACAAAATAAGATCAGTCAATGGGACCCCCACACACCCACATGTATATATATTTTGAAAAAAAGGAAACAAATGATAACCTAATTTTCTTGTTATGGAAAAGGAAAACCCTAATTTGCTAATTTGGTAAAGTAACTAGAAACCTTGAAAGAAATTCCATGGATCTTACATTCTTAGCAGCTGCACTGAATGCTTCTCTGTGACTTATATCAGGATTTCCAGCCTTGATGCGTTGGATCTCGTCCCTGCATATTGTTGAATATCCATTTACATTTGCTTCAAATTTAGCAACTTCATCAATAATAATGCACCCAAAAAGAAAACAGAAAAATGAGAGGCCGGTGTGAACTCTTTGAAATAATTATTACTCACTTGATGAATCGATTGTAAGCAGAGGGGACTCTCTGTCTCTTCTCTGGAGCTGGACATAAACAGACAGGCCACAAACGCAACAGAGACATATTAAAATCTCTTTGCTAGCTTTTAAGTTTTGCATTTTTTTTTTTTATTTTCTCATCTTCTTCTACAGTCACTTCACATTTCTATCTCTCACTCTCACTTCTCCATCAAAGATTCCTTGCTAGCATCCCGGGAGAAGAAATATTGTACAATCATTCTTTACTAGGATCTAGGTAGCTGGGTTTTCGGGGGACTGCGTTAATTTTGTGCTCTCTTTTTGCTAACTAAATGGCCAAACTATAGCCAACAAACGTTTTGTTATCTTGTGTCTAGATTAATTGCTTAAGCAAAGTAGAAAAAAAGTGGGGAAATTAATTCAGAAGAAAAAAGAGGTTGATTAAGAAAGAAACGTAGTGCAGGTTGATCAAGCAAGAATTTAAGAGGAAGAAAAAAAAAAAAAAACAGTTCTCGATTTTTGAAAGAAAGGGTAAACTCCCTTGATCTATTTCCTTAACAAAGCTTATCTATGATTTCTTAGTCTGGTAGGTTATTTTGAACAGTGTTCAAGACGTGAATTCTAGGCAGTACTACTAGTAGCTAGTTAAATATTAGGATTATTTACTACCTAGTTGAAGTGATTAGACAATAGTCCTGTAAGTTATTACTAAATTAGGACTTCTGCCACAAAAGCAAACTGGTGGTTAAAATGGCAGGCAAGACAGGGTTTGATTTTAAAATTAAAGTGAAAAAATTAATTAGCTCCTTTCTCCCTTACAACACACCTGCAGATCGAATGACCTTCCAGACTGTTGCAAGGAAGCCAAAAAGGCAAATGCTTATGATTCTTTACCGTTATCTTTTCTTGATTCTCTAAGAGAATACTATTATTGGACATGTTAAAGTGGTAGCAAGTTATCATCAACAGATATTCTTGATTCAATAGAGAAGGGAAAATGCATGAATCTCTCACATCAAATGATAAAAGGGACTTCATTTTCAAGAGAATATTGACATTTCCCTCCAAAAAAAGAGTGAAAAACATATCCCATTTTGACCTAAAACTTTTAAAGAGAGATTCTTGATAGAATAAAATAAAGGAAAATAATCAAAATATGATGATTCTCACGTCTGTTGATAACGGGTGGCCTAGGAAGCTCATGGTCAGCCATTCCTCGAACTGGAACGCTAAAATCATTTACATTGGTTTGATTGATCAAGAAGTTCGGAGTTGGGTTTGGGATCTGATCATCCTGAAAAATATTAATAACCAGCACATATTCCCATGAGAGAATATTTCTACATAATCGAAACCAGAAACGTCCATAGCAAGTATAGGGGTTAAAAGAAAATTAATGCTTGTCATTACACACCAGGAGATTATGAGAAGGAGAGAAGAAACTGTGACCCAATTGAAACTGAGTAGCAGATGGTAAAAGCAACCCACGCATGTTGACAGGTAGGAGATTGGTGCAGTGACCACAACGAACGGTAACAGTCTTGAATAAGCTTGTGCAAGGAACACTCACCTACCGTGAATGAAGCCAAGAACCCCAACATATGATCAAAGAAACGCATAATTAATATAAAAGGAAGAAATAAAACCTAAAATTGTAGAAGAAAGTAGAAGCAAAAGGGAAAGAGAGATAAATATTGAAGTCAATAAAGCTAATAGTTAGTGATGATAATACCGCAAGGACAGTGTCACAAATGTTGCAATGGACATAACACAGCTGCTCGGAGGGAGGGAGGTGGTCCAAAGACAAGGTAGAAGAGCTGGACATGGTGTTTAATTCCTTTTTCTAGTGCTTTAAAAAGAAAAATTGATTGGTGATTGCTCTCTATCTTTGAGGTGATTGATGGATGATTGATTGATAGATTGACAGATTAACCACCACCTTGGATCTGCCTTTTTCTTTGATTATTATGGGAGAGTTGTGAAAGAAAGGTGATCTATTTGGTCTAGTAGATATGATAAGAGAGCAGAGGAACACAGGAAACCCTTCTCTTCCTTCTGTTTATTGCTCTTGTTTATAGGTCATACGCATGTTCTATATCTATATTTATGTATCTACATTAACGCTTTCATGTGGCATATATGTCCATGATCATGAATGCATGTGTATGTCACATGTAATTAACATGGTAAAAGACCATTGTGTTTATGGCAAATAAGAAAATTACATGTGTGGTTGTCATTCCCAATGCATGTAAGAGAGAGAGAGAGAGAGAGAGAGGCGGCAGATGTGGGAGAGAGGAGCCAGAAAGGGACGTGTGCATGGGGTGATATAGCTTTCACTTACTCACCTGTTGTTTTCAGTAGTTAAGAGGGGGTGTTGCATAGTGTCCTTTTGTGGTGAGATTCGAAACCCGAAAGCTCTTTTCTCGGCCTCAATTTCCGAACCCAAACCCTAAGACCTCCTTGTATCTCTCGGACAATAAGCCCTTAAGCCACAACCCTCATTCTCCCGGCCTCCGTCTCCGTAGGGCTATATATACACAAACACATTTACATTTACATATAGAGCCAGCAGTATTTGATTACACTTATCATAGCATAATCATGACATTTTTCACTTTTATTTTGGACATAATTGTTGAAATTTTTTATTGATTAAGTGCAAGATTCCCTTTCGTGATTTGACCACTCATTCTCTTTTGTCTTGCAGACATACAGATAAGTATTTAAATCAGTAAAAACAATCTGAGTGCCATGCCTTTCTTTCTACCTTTTGTCCTTTCCCCGAATGATTTTATTTTATTTTATTTATTATTATTATTTATTTGCCTTATGTTGGCTAATTTGGTTAGAATCTTTTTTGCCATGATTTCGTCTTCTAGGGTTTCCTTTGCGAATTTTGCAAAGCTTCGCTGACTTGGGTGGGGGAAAAAAAGATTAAGAAAAATAATAAAAGAATTGGGATGATTACTATTCTTTTACTGTTGCTTTAGATATATAATACTTATTCATTGTAAATCAGGTGCCCTGTTTGAGCTTTTTTTATTAATCTCAACCATTCATCATATGTGTATCTTTCTTGGAATTGTTCGATCTAACAATTTAGTGCTTTTTAATTTTTTTCTTTTCTCCTAAAGTGTGGTTGTTGCTTGGTGTTTGTCCTCTTGCTTTTTCTTGATTTCTCATTTCCACTACAAAAGAATTCTAATAAGGAATGCTTGAAGGAGAATTGCTTTCCGTTAATCACAAGTAAAGCAGTTGTGCTTCGGTTTGTGTATCAAGAGAAGTACATATATTTAGTTAGATTAGAAGTGTAGCTAGAGTACATAACATGAGAAGTATAGATAGACTATATGTCATCCGTGTCTAGCCGTTTCTGCCATATCTCTAAGTTGCTTCTTGGCCATTCCCGATTTATCTCTAGTAGAAGTGGAAGCTATTACTCGTGTGTTCGATATTCCCCCACAAATAAACAATGTTTGAATGGAATGAGAGTGAACTCGTCGGTTTGTTTTTCAAGAAATTAAAACGATCGGAGAAAAGAGGCTTAGTGAGAGCATTTGCGACTTGATCTTGACTAGAAATAAAATGAACCGACAATTCACCCTTGGCAACTTTGTCTCTAACAAAGTGATAATCAATCTCGATATGTTTTGTTCGAGCATGAAACATTGGATTCACGACTAGGTAGGTGGCTCCAATATTGTCACACCGGAGAATGAGAGGAGAATCCTAACCGATGCCCGATTCACGAAGCAAGGACCTAAGCCAAGTGATTTCTGCCGTCGTATCTACAACGGCTTTATACTCGGCCTCTATGGAGCTCCTAGATATTGTTTTTTATTTCAAAGATTTCTAGAAGACCAAGTTATTACTTGTATAGATAGCAAAGCCTTATGTAGACTTCCTATCATCTAAGCATCCGACTCTAATTTGAATTAGAGAATCCTTGTGGAACCAAAGAGCTTTGTTTTGTGATGTGCAAACCATGATGTATAGATTCCTTCAAGTACATGAGAATTCATTTTACGGTTGTTTAGTAGTTTGCGGTAGGGTAGTGCATGAATTAGCGGACTTTGTTAACTACAAATGTAATATCTAGTCGTGTGAGTGTTACATACCGTAGCGCACCGACTATTTATCAATATAGAACATCATTAGTAGAGGGTGAATCGGGATGAAAATGAAGCTTAGTAGGCTGCCGACATTGGTGTGCCTATTAGCTTGCAGTTCTCCATTCCAGATTTGTGTAAGAGCTTCTTTATATACTTTTGTTGGGATAGTGGGATCCCATCGGATCGTTTAACTACTTCAACAACTAGGAAGTAGGTCAAAGTTCCTAAGTCACAAATGGAGAAATGATAGTTCAATGATGTAATTATAGAGAAAATTATAGAGTCCGAATTTCCTATAATTATCATATCATCAACATAGACCAACACTATCATAGATATACCATTGTGATTGTAAAAAAAAATAGAAAGTAGTCTATTTTGAGTCGATGAATCCAAGTCTGTAACAAAAAAGTGTGGAGACAAGCAAACTAAATACGAGGAGATTGTTTAAGCTCGTACGAGTGAGCAATGTAATGGACATACATGGTTTGAATGTTGCTCATAAATGAACCTTATTGGTTGTTTCATAAACAAAGTTTCACATAAGAAGCCATTAAGAAACGTATTATGAACATTAAGTTATCCGATTGTCCATGACTTAGTGATCTGCAATTGCAAGAACACACCTTATTGTTGTTGGTTTTACTATAAGGTTAAAGGTCACTCGTATAGTCGACTCCCTCCCGTTGGTGAAATCCTTTAGCCATAATTCTAGCTTTGTCTCCTTTTAAGCTACCTTCGACATGTTTTTTTGGTGCGATATACCCATTTGCAATCGATAAGGTTCATTCCCTTTTGGCGTGTAACTAAGGACTATGTTCCATTAGTGAGCGGACCATTAACCTCTCGTTATCATTGCACAGGGCCATTCAAGGTGGTGTTTTACTTGAGAGTAACTTGTAGGAGTAAGAGGAACAGTCTTTGGGGATGGTGGTCAAATGTGCTTCAGAGGTCCTATGGAACGGAGCCTCATTGAATGTTTCCTCGAGGGATTGATGACCGGGTGATGCTGCTTGTGGTAATCTATAGCTATGAAGATCAATAATAAGGTTTAACCTATTTTGTTATTGGTACTATCATTTGGAGGAGAAGGAGATGTGGTGGAGATTTGGTGAAGATGTGTGGGAGTAGAGAGAGGAGTTTGTGTTTCGGTGGGATTTGTAGAGTGACATTAGGGATGGTTACTAGAACTAAGGCATTGTATTGGAATGAATTATGTTGAAGAGAGAGGAGGCTGCAATATGGATAACTATCTAGTAGTGTTAGGATAAGGAAGATGACTAGTGGAGAAATTTCTTGGCTTTGGTGGTATTTTAAATGGTGCGAGGTTCAAGCTTGGTTGTAAGCTTACGGGCCGAAGTGATGTGGCTCGTAAGGGTGTGTTAAACTAAGAATTTGTGCTAGCGAGAGATATGAGGGGCTTGGGTGGCGAACCATAGATGGGTTTTTTTTATATATATATATAATGGGCTAAAATTGGACATCTCCCTTATGGCAAAGATGGCAAAGTCAATGAGTGGGAATCCGAATTTATGGTATTTATGGTAGTATGGGAATTTTTTTTTAAAGAATTATACATGCCTTGCAATGTACATTTTTTTGCTTTTAAATCAAAATAATGATAACCGAGATGATGTGGAATACAACCTAGAAAAACATATGGTACACTTTTAAAATCCATTTTATGCTTATTGTATGGCCTAAGATGTGGAAAACACAAGCAATCAAAAACTTTTAAAAGTGTGTAATCTAGTTTACGAGAAAATAAGAAGTCATATGGTGATTTATTTTAAAGAATTAGGGTTGGCATGTTATTAATTAAAAATATTGCGGTGTTAAATGCTAAATGCTAACATTAAGGTGGTACTTTCGCCTCCCTCATGAGTGTGAGATCGGTCTCAACAATGTGACAAGGTCATCATTCTACTCGTGCCATTTTGCTAATGTGTATGGAGGCACATAAGGCGATGGTCAATGCTAAGTTTTAAAAAAATATTATTTAAGGGGTAAATTTGCCTCCTTAATCCATTTCGATTTTTTTTTATTTTGCAATCGAATTGCCTTTCGACCAAATTTTGAAATTACATGAAAGTATTGAAGACATCGGACTTTTTACAAATTGGATAAAACCAAATGAATTTGGGATAATGATCGATGAAAATCACATAATATTTATGACCATTAGTAGAGGGGCAGGTGATGATCCCTAAACATCACTAAAAATTAAATCTAAAATAGAATTACTCGAAATGTTTCATGGAATGTAAAGACATTCTATGAGATTTTCCCAAAAGGCATGAAATACATTGATTATTGACATGACTATCGGTTTGTGATAAAACATTATTTGAAAATAAAGTTTGCGTAACTCGAACATGGGGATGTCTCAATCTTGAGTGCCATATTTATAAGGGTGCTATAACGGAGAAAGCTTTTGGTCGGAATGAACTTGATGACCCGAAAGGACATATAGGTCATCTTTAATCGGACCTAAAAGTATTTATTTCTACCGATCATGTTCCTTTAAACAAAAAGTAAAAAGGTGAAATTCCCAAACTAGATTGTTATCTTTAGCTAATTTTTGAACATAAAGCAAAGGTTTTGTAATATTTGAAACATGTCAAACATCTAATAATTTTAGAGTCCTAGTTAGGGTATGAAGATAAGCAGTACCAATATTTTTAATAGGGAGAAACTCATTATTGCCAAC